ATATATTTCTTATCATTACACAAATGTTGTGTGACTAGGTCCATAACTCTAGCATGACTATTTCTAGAATTATTCCCCTTGATCTTGGAATTAATGTTAACAAATGTTATTTTTTTTCTATAACTTAACACATAATTATACATAATGGATTTTTCTTTCATAGTTTTGTCCTCCTTACTGCGTCCAGTATTTTATTAGTTGAGCTTCGCTGTCTCCTGTGACAGCTCTTGTTACTGTTACTTCTTTATTTCTTAAGGGATCAACCTCATACTTCAAATATATGTACCTTATCATCATCCCCATCTTATGTGACAAGGTTCATAACTCTAGCACCAATATTTTAAGATGTATCTCCCCTTGAACTTAGAATTTTCCTCAAAAAAGTACTATTCTTACTGTTTTCTTTATTTCTTAGGGGAGCAACCTCATACTTCAAATATATTTACGTTATCATCATCCCATCTTATGTGACAAGGTTCATAACTCTAGCACCAATATTTTCAGATTTATCTCCCTTTGAACTTAGAATTTTCCATAAAAAATATTATTTTTTACTGTTACTTATTTATTTCTAAAGGGATCAACTTCATAATTCAAATATATTTACGTTATCATCATCCACATCTTATGTGACAAGGTTCATAACTCTAGCACCAATATTGCAAGAATTATCTCCCCATAAACTTACATTTTTTTACTAGAAAAATGTTATTTTTTATTACAACTTCTTTATTTTTAAAGGTATCTACCTCAAGCTTCAAATACTTATTCCTTATCATCAATTACATTTTATGTGACAATGTTCATAACTCTTGAAGCAATATTTACACATTTATCTCTCTTTGAACTTAGGATTTTCTTTAAGAAATATAATAACTTCTTTACTTTTTAAGGTATCTACTTCAAACTTCAAATATATATTTCTTATCATTACACAAATTTTGTGTGACAAGGTCCATACCTCTAGCATGACTATTTATAGAATTATTCCCCTTGATCTTGGAATTTATGTTAACAAATATTATTTTTTTAATATAACTTAATACATAATTATACATAATTGATTTTTCTTTCATAGTTTTGTCCTCCTTACTGCGTCCAGTATTTTATTAGTCGAGCTTCGCTGTCTCCTGTGACAGCTCTTGCTTAATGGGCAAGATTGTATTGCCAGCCTGCCAGCTTCATGGACAACACCATATTTGTTCTCGAAATCATGAAAATTGCTTCACTCAGTATTGGTTTTTCAGCGGTCAAAATTAGAAACCACATTGCTTTCAAAATTGTGTAAGGTTGCTGATAATTGGCTGTTTGAAAAATCACATAAAGGTGACAACCTACAAGTCATGTATTGCTGATTGTCTGATCCTAATGTGTAGTGTTATTTAGTAACTTAAAAGGGGAGTTAACCAAAATCCAAATTGTTACAAAAAAAATACTGTATTACTTCCCTTTACTATTCATAAAATTAATATTTTCTTTTAAATTCTAAAAGAGGGTTATCATAATATTTAAATAAATGTCTTTTACATAGTATAATGATATATGGGTAATATTTATCAAGATTTAAAATTATTTCTACATTATTTGTAACTTTGTAAATTGTATTTTCTTTTGTTGTATATAAATGTACTTTAGACATGTAAACTCTGACAATATATGAAAAGGTATTCTTTTTTCAAGTTTCTCTAGACAGGCAGTTATAACTGCCTAAATATAAAACAATCTACAGTAATGCTTCAATAGCATGTAATATAGGGTCAATTCCCTCCAACAACTAATAAATACTTTAGATACTGACCATTGTTTGACAAGAATATTATCAAGTAATAATGGAATAACTCTTTCTAATTTAAGTAAATATACTAGCATCATTATGTCCAAGTTTAATTTAAAAAAAAACAACATTGGTTGTGTAAATCTTCAAGCTTATAAATATGATGCATTATATATTTTTGTATGACTTTTTAAGTGTAACTAAAGATGAAAACATGTGTTTAATATACATTGTACCTGTTGCAGTTATAGGAGAAAAAAGGTAGCTTCTGAATTCTAAACTTTTTGTTCAAAACTACATGTAGTTTTAGACAGTTGTGCAGACATTTTCACAAAGTATTTACTTGTGTGTCTTTTTTTAAGCCTTGTGTGATTAAAAATGGCCAAAAAGATGAAAGGAAAAGTCACATAAGTACCATTTTGTGAGTATGTCCGTCCGTCCGCTTTTCTTGTCTGGGACATAACTTTGAAACAACAAGAGGTATCAACATGAAACTTTGTAGGTAGATAGATCTCATTGAGTAGGTATATAGTGCACAAGAATCGTAACTCTGTCTTTCCTAATTTTGGAGTTATTGCCCTTTTATTGCCATTTTGACACTGAACTTTGTCCGAGACATAACCATAAAAACTATAGGAGGTATAAACATGAAACTTTGTAGGTAGATAAATCTCATTGAGTAGGTGTGCAGTGCACAAGAACCATAACTCTGCCCTTCCTAATTTTTGAATTATTGCCCTTTGTTTATTTTTACTTTTTGACTTTTGTCTGGGACATAACTTTAAATCTATAAGAGTTATCAACATGAAACTTTGTAGGTAGATAGGTCTCATTGAGTAGGTGTGCAGTGCACAAGAACCGTAACTCTGCCTTGCTTAATTTTTGAATTATTGCCCTTTGTTTATTTTACACTTTGAACTTTGTCTGGGACATAACTCTAAAACTATAAGAGGTATCAACATGAAACTTTGTAGGTAGATAGGTCTCATTGAGTAGGTGTGCAGTGCACAAGAACCGTAACTCTGCCTTGCCTAATACTTGAATTATTGCCCTGTGTTTACTTGTACACTTTGAACTTTGTCAGGGACATAACTGTAAAATTATAAGAGTTATCAACATGAAACTTTACAGATAGATAGATCTCATTTAGTAGGTTTGCAGTGCACAAGAACCATAACTCTGTCTTGCCTAATTTTGGAGTTATTGCCTCTTGTTAATTTTGACACTTTGAACTTTGTCTGGGACATGACTCTAATATTATAAGATATCAACATGAAACTTTGTAGGTAGATAGATTTCATTGAGTAGGTGTGCAGTGCACAAGAACTGTAACTCTGCCATGCCTATTTTTTGAATTATTGCCCTTTGTTTATTTTTACTTTTTGACTTTCGTCGGGGACATAACTCTAAAACTATCAGAGATATCAACATGAAACCTTGTAGGTAGGTAGATCTCATTGGATAGAACTGCAATGCTAAAGAACCTAAAAACAGCCTTGTCTAATTTTGGAGTTATTGCCCTTTGTACATTTTTACACTTTGAATTTTACCCTTGACATAACTGAAACTATAAGAGATATCATCATGAAACTGGATAGATAGATAGATAGATAGATCTCATTGAATAGATGTGCAGTGCAAAAATAAACATAATTACTCTGCCTTGCCTAATTTTGGAGTTTTTGCCCTTTGTTCATTTTTATGCCCCCGCCATGTAATGGCCGGGGCATATAGTGTTACCCTGTTCCGTCCTTCCGTCATTCTGTCATTCCGTCATCATCAGTTTCCGTTCATTATCTTAGTAACGGTTGCACATATTCAACTCAAATTTGACATATGGGTATGTCATGAGAAAATACAGGTCAAGTTCGAATTTGGTCATGGTTCGATGATTTTTGACAGAGTTATGCCCCTTTTACTTTGAAAATAATATGAAATTTTCAGTTTCCGTTCATTATCTCCCTAACGGTACAACACATTCAACTCAAATTTGACATATAGATATGTCATGAGAAAATACAGGTCAAGTTCGAATTTGGTCATGGTTCGATGATTTTTGGCAGAGTTATGCCCCTTTTACTTTGAAAATAATATGAAATTTTCAGTTTCCGTTCATTATCTACCCAATGGTAAAACACATTCAACTCAAATTTGATATATGGATATGTCATGAGAAAATACAGGTCAAGTATGAATTTGGTCATGGTTCGATGATTTTTGGCAGAGTTATGCTCCTTTTACTTTGAAAATAATATGAAATTTTCAGTTTCCGTTCATTATCTCCCCAACGGTACAACACATTCAACTCAAATTTGACATATGGATATGTCATGAGAAAATACAGGTCAAGTTTGAATTTGGTCATGGTTCGATGATTTTTGGCAGAGTTATGCTCCTTTTACTTTGAAAATAATATGAAATTTTCAGTTTCTGTTTATTATCTCCCCAATGGTACAACTTATTAAACTCAAATTTGACATATGGATATGTTTTTAGAATGCCAAGGCCAAGTTCGAATTTGGTCATGGTTCAATGATTTTTGGCAGAGAAATGCCCCTTTCACTTTGAAAATAATATGAAATTTACAGTTTCTGTTCATTATCTACCCAACAGTGTTACATATTCAACTCAAATTTGACATATGGATATGTCAAAGGAATGGGCAGGTCAAGTTGGAATTTGGTCATGGTTCGATGATTTTTTGGCAGAGTTATGTCCCTTTCACTTTGAAAATAATATAGATACATCTTAGGAATAAGCAGTTTAAGTTTGAATTTGGTCGAGGTTCAATGATTTTGGACAAACTTATCTTTCTTGAATATTGGAAAAATTTTGAACAGTTTCAGCACTCATACTTTTGTGGAAATGTATGTAGCCATTATTTTGGCTACAAATATGAAATATGCTATTTTCAAAAGGTTAAGACTGAATAATTTCAGTGCCTTGAACATTGTATGAAAATGGTTTGTGTTAACATTGAAAAGTTTTAAGGACTTTGAACTTAAAATGAAAACAATAATTTGTGCAAACAAATTTGGAACTAAATATTATAACATCTGAAATTTTGGCTGCATGCGGGGGCATCCGTGGCATGATGACACATTTCTAGTTTTATACTTTCCTGTGTCCAAAACCTTCTCGTGGAGCATCACCCGTATCAACCGGTTCTTGCCTTTCTTGAATGTGTTTCTATGCTGTAATTGAAACAATTTTGATATCTTTACAGAATAGAGATGGAAGAAATGGAGCATGTCACAGCCTTGAAATATGTACTGCTAAAGTCAGAGGAGACAGTGTCAGGGGTTAAAGGTTATGTTGCCATAGGAACCAATTACTGTTTTGGAGAAGACATTCTTGCCAGAGGAAGAGTGAGTATTGTACTAGTCAGTTTTAACCTTGTCGCAAAAGACCACATTTTCCTTCACCCTAATTTGGTCTTTATTTACATATTTGAGGGTAATTAGCATGAAAAGACAAGAAACATAAGAAACGTTTTTTAATTAGTCTATATAATAAGTGGTTTAAAGTTTCAAGTTTACATGTACAGTAAAATATGAACTAGCGGTAAGTGTTTTTATCATGAGAAAACACTTGTTATTTAATTTAGTTGGTGTAAATTGAACGTTGTGATCATTGTTCGATTAATCATACATCAGATTGTAAAAATGATGTCTTTCAAACAAGCTAAATTATCATTTTTGTGTCGCCTTGAAAAAACTTTTGTCGGCGGTGTCGGCGTCGGTGTCGGCATCCCCAAAAGCTTGTCCGGAGCTCAGTCACTACAAGTCTGATTGACTTCAAACTTGGTATGCATGCTTCTTTCAATAACCCGAAGTGCAGTGCATAAGGACCGGTACTCTGCAGTTCTTAATTTTTGAGTAATTGCCCTTTGTTAATTTTCATACTTTAATTTTGTCTGGGCCATTTCTCCTTAAGTATAAAAGCTATGGACTTGAAACTTCATAGGATGATAGATCTCATTAAGAAGAAGTGCAGTGCACAAGAACCGATGATCTGCACTTCCTAATTTTTGAGTTATTGCCCTTTGTTAATTTTCATACTTTATTTTTGTCCGGGCCATTTCTCCTAATGTATAAAAGCCATGGACTTGAAACTAAATAGGATGATAGATCTCATTAAGAAGAAGTGCAGTGCACAAGAACCGGTACTCTGCATTTCTTATTTTTTGAGTTATTGCCCTTTGTTAACTTTCATACTTTAATTTTGTCCGGGCCATTTCTCCTTAAGTATAAAAGCTATGGACTTGAAACTTCATAGGATGAAAGATCTCATTAAGAAGAAGTGCAGTGCACAAGAACCGGTACTCTGCATTTCTTATTTTTTGAGTTATTGCCCTTTGTTAATTTTCATACTTTATTTTTGTCCGGGTCATTTCTCCTCAAGTATGAAAGCTATGGACATGAAACTTCATAGGATGATAGATCTCATTAAGAAAAAGTGCAGTATACAAGAACCAGTACTCTGCACTTCTTATTTGTGAGTTATTACCCTTTATTGATTTTCAAACTTTATTTTTGTCCAGGCTATTACTCATAAATTTTAAAAGATATGGACTTGAAACTTCATAGAATGATAGATCTTATTGATAAGAATTGCAGTGCACAGAAACTGCTGCTCTGCACTTATTATTTTTTGAGTTATTGCCCTTTGTTAGTTTTCATATTTCATTTTTGTCCTGGCCATTTCTCCTAAACTATATTGTTCACAAGGCGACACATCCGACTCGCAGAGTTCTAGTATTTTATTCTCTCTCTCTCTATACAGCAGCTACTTCAACTCCTTCCCTTCCATGGCTGCTGTACACAGATTTGACTGAACATTGTATTTGATTATTCTGTGCTCCCATTACTGGGGATATATAGATTTGCCCTTTTCCATCTGTCACACTGTCCTGCTGTCACTCATTCTGTTAGTAGACTAACAAAACATCTGAATGTAAAAACATCTTTGTCCTATCTACATATATATTTGTAGATTTTCATTTGATTTATTTCTGTTTTTCAGATAATCATATTTGATGTGATAGAAGTTGTCCCGGAACCAGGTCAACCTTTAACAAAACATAAAATTAAGGTACTTTACTACTTTAACTTGCTTGTATAAATGAATGCCTGGAACATTATCATATTGAAATATGAGTAATACAAGAAAAATTTTATTGTTAAAAAGTGAAAATTATCAGTTATTTTTATACAAATATATAAAGCTGCAAAACTTACATCAAAGCTGCTTTGGTGAAAACAACTGTCTTATGACAAATTGTCGTGCACTGGTTAAGGGCGCTGCTTTTTTCAAATCTTTATTGTCATTATTGTTCTTCAGTATTCTATATGTTTGACCATTAATTTAAGAATGTCTTTGATTATAAAAGTAAACTGAAAACAACTTAATTTACATATTATAACAATAAATGTTCATTTGCATGTCTCTGTATGAGTTATCTCCCCTATTTCAGGTAGTATAAGATGAGTTATCTCCCCTATTTCAGGTAGTATAAGATGAGTTATTTCCCCTATTTCTGACAGTATATGATGAGTTACGTCCCCTATTTCTAGTATATGTCCCCTATTTTAGGTAGTATGAGTTATTTCCCCTATTTCAGGTAGTATAAGATGAGTTATTTCCCCTATTTCAGGTAGTATAAGATGAGTTATTTCCCCTATTTCAGGTAGTATAAGATGAGTTATGTCCCCTATTTCAGGTAGTATAAGATGAGTTATTTCCCCTATTTCAGGTAGTATAAGATGAGTTATTTTCCATATTTCAGGTAGTATAAGATGAGTTATGTTCCCTATTTCAGACAGTGTATGATGAGTTAGGTCTTCTATTTCAGGTAGTATAAGATAAGTTATGTCCCCTATTTCAGGTAGTATAAAATGAATTATTTCCCCTATTTCAGGTAGTATAAGATGAGTTATTTCCCATATTTCAGATAGTTTAAGATGAGTTATGTTCCCTATTTCAGGTAGTATAAGATGAGTTATGTCCCCAATTTCAGGTTGTATTTGATGAGTTATGTCCCTTATTTCAGGCAGTATGAGTTTTGTCCTCTATTTCATGTAGTATAAGATAAGTTATGTCCCCTATTTCATTTAGTATAAGATGAGTTATATCCCCTATTTCAGGCAGTATGAGTTATGTCCCCTATTTCATGTAGTATAAGATGAGTTATGACCCCTATTTCATGTAGTATAAAATTAGTTATTTCCCCTATTTCAGGCAGTATGAGTTATGTCCCCTATTTCAGGTAGTATAAGATGAGTTATGTCCCCTATTTCAGGTAGTATAAGATGAGTTATTTCCCCTATTTCAGGTAGTATAAGATGAGTTATTTCCCCTATTTCAGGTAGTATAAAATGAGTTATTTCCCCTATTTCAGGTAGTGTATGATAAAGAACAGAAAGGTCCGGTGACATCATTGTCTTACTGTAATGGTTTTCTAGTCTCGGCTGTAGGACAAAAGGTATGTTAAACTGTTATGTTCTTGATAATACAAACCGAAGCCATAGTTTTGTTTTATACCTTGATAACATCATTTACAAATTCAGATTTTAAATGGAAAATTAGCTATTGGTAATAATTTGTTATAAAATCTTCTTGTTAACTTAAAGAGTAGTAAACACTGTGCTTATAAGCATGGCTACATGTTTGATAGTATTAGCATTGACTGTTTATTATAAAGCATTCATAGTGCAAATTGTTTTCTCATTGTATACAATCTGGGAATATTTACTGTGTAAATAATACATTTTATTACAGATATTTATGTGGACATTGAAGAATGATGATCTCATAGGTGTAGCTTTTATAGACACACATATCTACATACATTCATTGGTTACTTTAAAGAACCTGATATTTGCTGCTGATGTACAGAAAAGTGTAACATTATATAGATATCAGGAACAAGAGAGAGTCTTATCACAAGTGTGCAGGGTAATTATACAACTTTATTGTTTTAAAGTTATACAATATATAAGTGAAAAAGATCCATTGATGTTACCTCGTTTGACAAAAAATGATAATGTTGCATGTTTGGTTTGATTGATTATATTATTTATGTTTCAGTGACACAGTGATATACTGTATATGAAAACTTAACCATTGTGTCATGTAGCTAAAAGAGAAAAATTTAAAAAAAAGAGAAGAAAATTGAAGTACTAAAAGGATATTGAATGAATGTAGATTTAATACTGAATTTATTGAACAAGTTGTGTAAAATTATATTATGCAAGCCTCTAGAGTCATTTAATGTTTTAAATGTTTTTGAATGTTTTATGCAAGCCTCTAAAGTAGTAAGTCATTTAATGTTTTAAAATATAGAATTAAGTCTCCATATGCATATATTTCCTATAAACATGTGTATTGTATTCTATTTGTTTTCATATAACACAGGATGTGAAACCTTTGGAAGTATACAGTCTAGATTATTTTGTTGACAGTTCACAGTTATCTTTTATAGGTATGTATTTCATAGGTGCATCTTGGACATTTCTAGGCAGTCATTTAAAATTAATTTTCTGTCATACAGTTCTGGTTGGATTTATGGTATTTTCATGGACTAACAAATGAGCACCTTTGACAGCTTTCTCACTTGGGAAATGGAAAAAAGCCCTCCTGTCCAAATATGACGAGGCGTACAAAAGCCCTCCCGTGATAATAATGAGGCAGACAAAAGCCCTCCCGTGCATATGACAGGGGGGACATAATTTGTGATCGAATGTATGTTGTGTATAATGATGCTATAAACTGGATATGTTTTGTGTTTTCTACGGCTTGAGCAGAATTAGCGTAAATCAAATTTCACAAGATATTGATTAATTTAATAAAATTGAGTGAACATTTGTTTTGCTTAATTGAATTATTCCCCTTTTGTTTCTTCGATTTTGATTGTTAGTAAATTATTTGTTTGCTTATTGTAATTTAGAAGTACATGTAGTTGTTTTTGAGTATAAATAAAACACATTATTATATTTACAGTGACAGACAAATTGAAGAATATTTTGATATACCAGTACTTACCTGAAAGTAAGTAAATTGTTTTATTATATTACAGTAATGCAGTCCAGATGTAATGTTGCATGCATTGTTATTCAGATAAAGTTGATCATAATATACATGTTTTTGAAATATAGTTATGAATATTTATGCTTTAACATTCAGGAAACCTGTGTAATATTTTATATAACATTTAAGTTTTGTCATTCATGCATTTCTTTTACATTCCTGTTTTGGTAACTATTTTTATTCATGTGATCAGTGCAGACCAAGATCAGCCGGCACAATTCTGTGCTGTCTTGTCTGATCATGGTCTGCACTGTTCACTCTTCAGTCTGTACATATTTTGCAATTCTACTTGACAGTGATTAATGATTTTGTTGAGATTGAAAGATGAATAAGTCAGTTTAATATATTTAGCCAGGTAAAGGTTACCCATTATATGAATATAAATAAAACCATTATTGGGATAGCTAAAGGTAAAATCAACATTTACATCACACAGCTGTCTTCACTTAGGCTCATGTCTTTGACCTTGACCTTGACAAAAGGACCCACAAAAATTATTTCTTTGCACTTACAGGATATTTTAAGTACAATATAAGTTTAAAACAAAGTGTGCCTTCAGCATTTCTCTACCTAACTTTTCCTTGAAATTCTGTCATAGAATATATAATTCTTCAATTAAAGCAATAATCACTTGTTTGTTTATTGATTACCAAGTATAATTGTTTGTTTATTGATATGCTAGTATAATTGTTTGTTTATTATCCCCCGCCGATGGAATCGGGAGGGGGATATAGTTTTGGCGTTGTCCGTCCGTCCTTTCGTCCGTCCGTCCGTCCGTCCGTCCATCCGTCCGTCCGAATTTCGTTTCCAGAGTATTTCTCTGCAACTTATGGCTGGAATTCAACGAAACTTTATGGGAATGTTGATCAGCATGTGAAGTTATGCACCTGGGTATTTTCGTCTGGATATTTTTAGTATTTTTAGAGTTATTGCCCTTGACTTAGTAAAATTTTGTCCGAATTTCGTTTCCGGAGTAGTTCTCTGCAACTAATGGCTGGAATTCAACGAAACTTAATGGGAATGTTGATCAGCATGTGAAGTTGTGCACCTGGGTATTTTCGTCTGGATATTTTTAGTATTTTTAGAGTTATTGCCCTTGACTTAGTAAAATTTTGTAATTTTCAACTTGTGTCGCATGTAACTCAAAAAGTATTTGACCTAGAGTCATGAAACTTTACAGGAATGTTGATCAGTATGTGTAGTTGTGCACCTGGGTATTTTCGTCTTGATATTTTTAGTATTTTTTAGAGTTATTGCCCTTGACTTAGTAAAATTTTGTAATTTTCAACTTGTGTCGCATGTAACTCAAAAAGTATTTGACCTAGTGTCATGAAACTTTACAGGAATGTTGATCAGTATGTGTAGTTGTGCACCTGGGTATTTTCGTCCGGATATTTATAGTATTTTTAGAGTTATTGCCCTTGACTCAGTAAAATTTTGTCCGAATTTCGTTTCCGGAGTAGTTCTCTGCAACTAATGGCTGGAATTCAACGAAACTTTATGGGAATGTTGATCAGCATGTGAAGTTGTGCACCTGGGTATGTTCGTCTGGATATTTTTAGTATTTTTAGAGTTTTTGCCCTTTACTTAGTAAAATTTTGTAATTTTCAACTTGTGTCGCATGTAACTCAAAAAGTATTTGACCTAGAGTCATGAAACTTTACAGGAATGTTGATCAGTATGTGTAGTTGTGCACCTGGGTATTTTCGTCTGGATATTTTTAGTATTTTTAGAGTTATTGCCCTTGACTTAGTAAAATTTTGTAATTTTCAATCACAATCATCAGTCACAGGGCCAGAAAAGGAGTTTCAAAAATGCAAAATTAAAAAATCTTGTCTGACAGTACAAGGCCTAGAGCTTTGATATTTGGTATATGATATAACATATAGGTCCTCTACCAAAATTGTTCAAATTTTAGCCCTGGGGTCAAAATTGGCCCCACTCCAGGGGGTCATAGATTTTCCTTCTTATTGTTTGAAGGTACAAGGCTTCAAGTTCAAAGAATATTACAGTTTATGCCATGATTAATATATAAATAAAGCCTTATGTCTTCAGTTGTTGTGTTAATAATTACCAGTGCTCGGCGGGGGATATAAATTCAACGAATTTGCTTGTTGATATACAAGTACAATGTTTACAGTTCGAGAAAGTCATGGAGGAACAAGATTGTTAAGGAGAGCAGATTTTAATGCAGGATCTCATATAAACACAATGTTTCGTGTGCGATGTAAACTCTCTGATCCATCTACAGAAAAAAAACTTACAGGACCACTAGAGAGACGCCATGTTACTTACTTTGGTAATGATTTTATAATGTAAATATGTCATGTATGTATGGGATAGAAATAAGATAGATCTTTTTTTTCAAGTTTCTTAACATTAAGTTACCAGAAGGAACTTTAGAATGTTTTTATAAGTGTTATTTTATTTTAAAAAAATGTTTTGTAATTGGTTCGCCACCAATATTTTTAGATCTTTTATTATTCTTTTATATAACATCCTATTATAAGGGAATGATTAAAATGGTTGACTGAGTGCTACTGTTTTATGTAAAGAATTTAAGATGATATGAAAATGCTATTTACATTGTCTACCAATATAGGTTTGCTTTATAAAGATAAGACAACATTTGATATTGTTTGAGTTTGTCACATGACACAATACCAGCAAATATAGACTCTAACTGTTAATCATGTAAAAATACATATTGTGTTTCAGCATCACTAGATGGTAGTTTAGGTTACTTGTTACCGGTCTCAGAGAAGGTGTATAGAAGATTACTCATGTTACAGAATGCCCTTAATATGCAGCTACCTCACACTGCCGGGCTCAATCCTAGATCTTACAGGTATTTATTGATATAATGTAATCAGATTTCTTCTTCTATATATTACCATAAGAGTGTTTAACACAAGGTGTAGCTATGTAGCTGTTCTAAGATAGAATAATATTGATGCTACTAACATTATTCAAGATAGTAGTGAAAGATAAACTGAATTGATTATATATTACAAACTTTCTACTAGAGTGTAATGTTATATATTTGTGCAATATAATATATACATTTCAAACATTGTACTTGAACATTGTTTGGAATACATGTAGATTTACTTATTGTTGTTTCTCAAAAATGCTTTGGTGGTATGTTTAAGTATAAGAAACATCCTACAATGTTAATTTTTCAGAGCTGTACAAAATAACTCAGCAGATCTTGCAAATGCCCACAAAAATGTTCTTGATGGTGAACTTCTTTGGAAATTTCTACATTTAAGTGTACTGGAAAAATCTGAAATGGCAAAACGAATAGGAACTAGTGTTGATCAGGTCAGTGTATGTTAGCAACCACCAAATACCAAATACATGTAATTAAAAAGAACCCCATCAATCTTTAAACTCTGAAATTAATCATTTCAGTTTGTATGTAGAAAAAGAGCATTTTTAAGAGCCAGAATACTGTCTTGAAAACTCATGTCATGCAAATTTAGGGTACCTTGATAAATATTCAAGTGTGTGTTGTATACAGATCTACACATGTTGCAGTGAGAATAAATACACCACAGTTTGTACTGCTGTTTTAATAAAGTCAGATACCTTTTGTCTCAATTGACATAGAGACTTAAATCAGTTACATTTTAGTAAGACAAAAAAAGACTTAACAAAATTAGACTCTTTTGTACGAAATTTTAGTAATTAAAAGAAATAGTAGGAAATATATTTTTATAATAATATATGACTAATCTAACAGTACCTTTACCTTACAGTTGGTTGAAGATTTGATGGAGGTTGACAGATCTACAGCTCATTTCTGATCAAAATGTTTATATTGACAATGACATGATGTAGAATCATGTATACAAGGCTGTAAATAACTGACTGTATAATGTACCTACCACAGTGTTCAATGTGTATTTCATACAAAGGGAGTGGAAGTTGTTTTAAGATTGTGGGACTGACTTACTTCCCATTGCAGCGTCTTAATGAAGACATTATGTTGTTGTTTTTGGAAAAGGGTGTGGTGATGGGGTGGGGGGGGAATGCATTTATACCCTTTGTTTAAACATTTCATAGAACTGCATTTTTGATTTATACATATTAGACAGACGTGATTTTTTGGAGGGAAAGCGTATATGCTGATAATGTCTCTTAGTGTTTCTTTGTGTTTTAATAATACGATTAAAGAGGATCAAACCAGATTGCTTATTAATTTGAAAAAGTTTTTTTTCTTTGTAAAAAATATCAGTCAGAAAAGGATTTGAAAAACACATCAATATTAATATATCCCATGCTGAAACAATGTACATTCAGTCAGATGTTTTCTTAGCTTGATACATATATTAATGACATAAGATACACATGTGATTGGCTAAGAGGATGTTAATTGTAATGTGTGGTGGCATAAATTTCAGTATGAAAGTATGAATTTGCCAGTCCACTTTATGCCATACAAAATGGAGTTGTTGGACATGATTTAAAGTTATTTTATTAAGACTTGTGTGAAGTAGAATTTATATAATGTCTTTGATATTTAAAATGTCAGTCTTGTTCTTAGAAATGCTTGTCAACATTGCACAAACTTATAGCATAAAAAATTGTGAAAATGTAAACCCCTGTGTAATGAGCTTGTATTATATTCATCTTTTATTTGTCTCACTATAAAACTACAAATGTATTAACTTCATGCTTTTTTTTGTTAAGGATATATGTCTGTATTTTTGTACAGAAATAAAGTTTTAAAACTTATTCCACAATTTATTTTTTATACATACTATCAGAGACTTCAATGACTGTAACAATATGATATGATGTACAAACTTGATGGTACAGGCAGGTGTTTATACTGGAGGTAAGAAAGATGTTTATACTGTGTGGTACAGGTAGATGTTTATACTGAATGGTACAGACAGATGTTTAAATTGGGTGGTACAAACATGTATGTACTGGGTGGTTCAGGTAGGTATTCATACTTGGTGGGATAACAGATGCTCCTTCCAGTTGAATCAAACATTATGTTTATTTTGGGTGGTACAAACAGATGTCCATACTGGATAGTGCAGGCAGATGTTTATACTGGTCGGTACAGGCAGATGATTAAACTGGTTGGTACAAACAGATGTCAATACTGGTCGAAAGAGGCAGATGTTTATACTGGTTGGTACAGGCAGATACTGGGTGGTACAGGCAGATGTTTATACTAAATGGTACAGGCAGATATTTATACTGGGTTGTACAGACAGATGTTTATACTGGGTTGTACAGACAGATGTTTATACTGGATGGTACAGACAGATGTTTATACTGGATGGTACAGGCAGATGTTTATACTGAATGGTACAGGCAGATGTTTATACTGGGTGGTACAGACAGATGTTTATACTGGGTGGTACAGACAGATGTTTATACTGGGTGGTACAGACAGATGTTTATACTGGGTGGTACAGACAGATGTTTATACTGAGTGGTACAGGCAGATGTTTATACTGGATGGTACATACAGATGTTCATACTGAGTGGTACATACAGATGTTTATACAGGGTGGTATATACAGATGTTTGTACAGGTTGGTTCAGGCAGATGTTTATACTGGATGGTACAGACAGATGTTTATACAGGTTGGTACAGACAGATGTTTATACAGGGTGGTACAGACAGATGTTTATACAGGTTGGTACAGGCAGATGTTTATACTGGATGGTACAGGCAGATGTTTATACTTGGTGGTACAGACAGATGTTTATACTGGATGGTACAGACAGATGTTTATACTGAATGGTACAGACAGATGTTTATACTGTATGGTACAGACAGATGTTTATACTGGATGGTACAGGCAGATGTTTATACTGGATGGTACAGACAAATGTTTATACTGGATGGTACAGACAGATGTTTTTTATGGATGGTACAGATAGATGTTTATACAGGATGGTACAGACAGATGTTTATACAGGGTGGTACAGACAGATGTTTATACTGGATGGTACAGATAGATGTTTATACTGAATGGTACAGACAGATAATTATACTGGATGGTACAGACAGATGTTCAGACTGGGTGGTAAAGGCCGATGTTCATACTGGGTGGTACAGACAGATGTTTATACTGGTTGGTACAGACAGATGTTCCTACTGGGCGGTAAGACAGATCCTCATACTAGTTTGTACAAATAAATGTTTATTTTTGGTAGTACAAACAGATGCTCATACTGGATGGTTAGGCAGACGCTTATGTTGGGTGGTAAAACATATTCATACTGGGTGGTAAGACATGTTCATACTGGGTGGTAAAACATATTCATACTGGGTGGTAAGACATGCTCATATTGGGTGGTAAGACATGTTCATACTGGGTGGTAAGACATGTTCATACTGGGTGGTAAGACATGTTCATACTGGGTGGTAAGACATGTTCATACTGGGTGGTAAGACATGTTCATACTGGGTGGTAAGACATATTCATACTGGGTGGTAAGACATGCTCATACAGGGTGGTAAGACATGCTCATATTGGGTGGTAAGACATGTTCATATTGGGTGGTAAGACATGCTCATACTGGGTGGTAAGACAGATGCTCATACTAGTTGGTAACAGTCTGTCAATTTTTCCTTTCACACTGAATGCTTCAAGTGTCAGTGATATACATGTATATATATTTCTTTTTATATATTTTTTTATTGAATTTCATGTCGAACTGTTGATATTAGGTATGTACCAGTATATGTAAAGCTCAGCTTAAGTTGGATCTATGTTATCTTTTCAAAATTAAGCTTATTTTATTGTACCATAGATCAGTTATTTTATCATATTCTAGTATATATAATTTTCATAGACTTACAAAAGAATCTAAAAGTTCCAGTAGATTATATGCCAGACTCCTTTATTTTTCACTGACACATTTGCATTTTACAAATTTTTCAACAATTCTATTGATCTAGGTTTGTGACAATATATGGAATATAGCACCATGTGGTTAATGTTGCTGCCTTCAAATCACTTGCCCCTCACCCCAATGTTGCTGATTTAAAGTTACTTGGCCCTCACCCCAATGTTGCTGATTTAAAATTACTTGCCCCTCATCCCGGTTGGTTTATATCTTTTCAGGGACTTAAGCTTCTTTCATTACACCCCCAAAAAGAAGTGGGGGGGTATAGGTTCTACTCAGGTGCCTGAAAGGTTTTCCTCCACCAGTAAAGCTGGAAAGATGTCATATGACCTTTACCATGTTGATATGACTTAAAACCTAACAAAAGAAAATTAATTGTTTGAAGAGGTAATCACTATGAAGTCATTTTCACAAATAAGCCCAGTACCGTATAAGTACTATTTTCTGCGGGAACTTTATTTCTGCTATTTCTGCGGTTCATATCGACACCGCAGATTTAAAAACCGCAGTATGTATATGTCGGAATATGTCAACCACCGGTATTGTATAATTACATTACCATGTACCGTTTTTAGCTCGACTATTCGAAGAATATGAGAGCTATTGTAGTCGCCCCGGCGTCGGCGTCGGCGTCAGCGTCCGCGTCGGCGTCTGCGTTGGTTAAAGTTTTTTGTAAAGTCAAATATCTCAATTATTACTTGAGATATTCAATTGAAACTTACAATACTTATTTATAGTAACAAGGTACATCAGATTGACAAGTAAGATAACTCTGCCTACAATTTTGACAGAATTATGCCCCTTTTTAACTTAGAAATTTTGGTTAATGTTTTTTGTAAAGTCAAATATCTCAATGATTGCTTGAGATATTCAATTGAAACTTACAATACTTATTTATAGTAACAAGGTACATCAGATTGACAAGTTGGATAACTCTGCCTACAATATTGACAGAATTACGCCCCTTTTTAACTTAGAAATTTTGGTTAAAGTTTTTTGTAAAGTCAAATATCTCAATTATTGCTTGAGATATTCAATTGAAACTTACAATACTTATTTATAGTGACAAGGTACATCAGATTGACAAGTTGGATAACACTGCCTACAATATTGACAGAATTATGCCCCTTTGGAACTTAGAAATTTGGTTAAAGTTTTTTTTGTAAAGTCAAATATCTCAATGATTGCTTGAAATTTAAAATACTTTTTTATAGTAACAATGTACATCTGTTTGCAAAATTGCATAACTCTGCCTAAAATATTTGCAGAATTATTTGCCCCTTTGAAACTTAGAAATTTTGGTTAAAGATTAAAGTCTTCAAAGATATTTACTTGAAACTTTACACATGCACTTAGGGTCATAATTGGAGGGTCATGATTGTATGTCACTGACCAAGTTCCATAACTCTATCTTGCATTAAGGCTGATTCATATCCCCTTTTCTACTTAGTCTTTTTGGTTAATGTTTTACATGCAAGTTTTACATATCTCAATAACTATTAAAGATATTTATTTAAAACTTCACATATGCATTTAGGGTCATAATTGTAGGTCACTGACAAAGATCCATAATTCTATCTTGCATTTAGGCTGATTTTTCTCCCCTTTTTCAACTTAGAAATTCGTGGTAAAGTTTTGCTTGTAAGCTGTTATCTCAATAACTACTGAAGGGTTGTGTGCCTTTTTTGGGACAATTTTATGCATTCATAATAATAAAGCAGTGATTTACTTGATAAAACATCTTAATAACAAGCCTTTGTACCTTTTCTGTCAAATTTATTTATTCATAGGTAATTAGTATTATTATACTCAATAAAACACCCTTGTGACATTACTGTATAATTAGACTCTCTCTTAGGCCTATAACATGAATTTATAAAAAAAAATTAGCCCTTTTGTGAACTTAAAAAATTTAACATTATCAAGGCTCTTTTACTATCAAGCACTTAGAATAGTCGAGCGTGCTGTCCTACCGACAGCTCTTGTTTGTAGATGGCCTTATGTATCTGTCGTGAATAAAATATTAGAAAAAAATGTTACTTTGCTTGTTCTCTTTGCTGAAATAAGTATTATGTTTGTATGATTTTCGCTCACTCTTAGCTTGATTTTTTTTTGTAAAATCGAACTATTTTAGTTTGACGGGTGCAATAAACATACCCTTTTGTATTTGTACAATATCTTGTGTCCACGTTCGATTTTGTCATTGTTTATTATTCACACTTCATATTTATACACATACAGTATTAAAATTGTTATCATTGCACGTTTATTAACATGTATATACCGATACATGATAATTACGACGAAACACATAATCAGTCGTCTGCATGTTAACCGGAAGTAATGTTATATCAACAAATCTTAAAATGTTGTCTGTTTGTGTAGGTTAATTTTGAAAAGAAGTATCTTAATTAAAACGCAGAATTAAAAAGCATCAAGGCGAGAATGATGACACCGCAGAAATAAGATACGCAGAAATTTAAAACCCCTTATTTTAACAAAAATCGCAGAATATTAAGCCCGCAGATATAAGTTCTTATACGGTATATCATTCAAGTCTTATTGCACATGTTTATAATTGTTTTCTCCTATGATATTAATACTAAGTTGTTCTAAGCATTGAACTGATAAGCAGTTAAATGAATTATAAATTTAAGATATAAGATAATAAGTTTGTTTGTGTCAAAAAAAGATAACACAAAATAAGTTTCTTGTTTTTATATTCAGAGAAGTATTAGACCACAAGTTGTGACAACATTTGAGTTACCCAGCTGTGTGAACATGTGGACAGTGACAGGATCAAAGACAAGTGGTGACAAAGACGATGATGAGAAACAAGAGATACAGGACAGCCATGCCTTCCTGATACTTAGTCGACTGGACTCTAGTATGGTAAGTTCCTGATACTAAGTCGACCGGACTCTAGTATGGTAAGTTCCTGATACTGAGTCTACCTGACTCTAGTATGGTTTATATCTTTTCAGGGACTTAAGCTTCTTTCATTACACCCCCAAAACAAAGTGGTGGGGTATACCTATCCATCTAGCTAACTACAGGTACTACTCAGGTGTCTGAAAGGTTTTCCTCCACCAGTAAAGCTGGAAAGATGTCATATGACCTTTACCATGTTGATATGACTTAAAACCTAACAAAAGAAAATTAATTGTTTGAAGAGGTAGTCACTATGTAGTCATTTTCACAAATTAGCTATTATGATTTAAGTCTTATTGCACGTGTATATAATTGTTTTCTCCTATGTCATTAACACTAAGTTGTTTTAAGCAGTGAACTGATAAGCAGTTCAATGAAATATAAATTTGTTGATGTCAAAGTAAGATAACACAATCTGAGTTCCTTGTTTTTGTATTCAGAGAAGTATTCGACCACAAGTTGTGACAACGTTTGAGTTACCCAGCTGTGTGAACATGTGGACAGTGACAGGATCAAAGACAAGTGGTGACAAAGACGATGATGAGAAACAAGAGATACAGGATGGTACTAAGTCGACCGGACTCTAGTATGGTAAGTTCCTGATACTAAGTCGACCGGACTCTAATATGGTAAGTTCCTGATACTAAGTCGACCGGACTCTAGTATGGTAAGTTCCTGATACTAAGTCGACCGGACTCTAGTAATGGTAAGTTCCTGATACTAAGTCGACCGGACTCTAGTATGGTAAGTTCCTGATACTAAGTCGACCAGACTCTAGTATGGTAAGTTCCTGATACTAAGTCGACCAGACTCTAGTATGGTAAGTTCCTGATACTAAGTCGACCAGACTCTAGTATGGTAAGTTCCTGATACTAAGTCGACCAGACTCTAGTATGGTAAGTTCCTGATACTAAGTCGACCAGACTCTAGTATGGACCAGACTCTAGTATGGTAAGTTCCTGATACTAAGTCGACCAGACTCTAGTATGGTAAGTTCCTGATACTAAGTTGACCGGACTCTAGTATGGTAAGTTACTGATACTAAGTCAACCGGACTCTAGTATGGTATGTTAATAATAATAACTGGTTTTAGGGCATTTTCTTAAATATCTTTATCACCCCTATACGACAGAACTATAGATTCATAAGCTATCAGTGGTCATTGTTGTGTTTGTTTTATACAAATTAATTTTAATTGTGTGTTTAGTTTGTGTCGGAAGCTATAAGCTTATGGAAACACTCTTGAATCTGTTTCTGGAACCAGCTAGTACTAAGTAATAAATAAGTTTCTTGCTAACAGAAACAACGGCTTAACCCTGACTTGGTCCGAACACATGCAATCCATAGATTACTTATCCGACATGTTTGTGTTTGTTTGTAACAAATTATTCGTCAAAATAAGGCTGTTCTTTTTTCCTTCTTTTTGACTTATTTATTTGGCTTGAGTGTAAGGAGAGTTGTGGTTATATATTAATATTTTTATTTTATATTTAAGCCATTTGTGGCAAGTTTTGAAGAGAACATTGTTCAGATGCAGTTGCATCTTTCATTACAAATGAAAAAAGTTGTGAGATTTTATAAAAAAATTCATGTAACAGTAAAGCAATTAATTATGACAATTCAAAATGAAACCTTTAGAAATTGATTTAAGAAAGTATCAATATTTTCTTTACTCGTATGGTTTACAGATTTTACAGACTGGTCAGGAGATTCAAGAATTAGATCACAGTGGATTTAGTACCCAGACTGCCACTATATATGCTGGTAATGTTGGGGAAGGCAGATATATTCTACAGGTGTCCTCAGGTGGCATCAGGTTACTGGATGGAGGTAAGGAGACGATTCTTGTGTAATTATTTGTTAATCAAGACTGATGGGGTTTATCCAACTAACCCTTGTATTGCTCTTGATATATAATTGGGGTGGGGGCGGTGTCTGTGGCTTAGTGGTTAAGCTTGTTGACTTTTTAACCACTTGCCTCTTACTGCTCTAGGTCAGATTCGAATTCTTTAATATTAGTAAGCTATCCAGCTATCTTATGGAACATCGGTAGTTCTACTCGGGTGCACGTTTTTGTCTGAAATAATGCACAGAAGGGGCACATAAGGTCTTGGTTCTAACCCCACCTGTAAAGCCAGAATGTTGCCATATGAACTATACTGTACTGTAAAACCCAACTAAAAACAACAAACAAAACAAACTTATTTAAAACTTATTTGGTTCAAGTTTTACCTTTTTAATCACTGAAGGAATTTTCTTGACACCTAACACTGTGACATGTCTAATGTATTTTTAATGCAGGTCACTTTTTGAAATTTTTGAACTTTAGCAGAGATTTTGTATAAATATTATGTCCCTTTTAAACTTAAAATATTCCTTTTTATGTTTTGTATGCAGTTTCTTTTTCTATGTTCTCTTAAGATATGCACTTGAATTTGCAAAAACGCATGCAGCATTTTAATTGTAGTTTTTTGTTCACCAAAACCAATAATTCTAACACAGATGTTTATTTAATTAACTATTCTTAAACATTCATGCAATATGTGAATAATTATTGTATAGTGCCGATGTGGCCAAGTGATTAATATGTCAGCTTGGCAATCTAAGGATGGCCAGCTGTGTGGGTTTAAACCCTGTCAGGGCCAGCCATTATTTCCTTAAGCTAGAAACTTTACACTCATTTCTTAGTACTGGTTGACTCAAGGTATAGATCTGAGAGTGTGTTTATAAGGTTATAACTTACTACACAGTCAAATTAAAATAAAGTTTGTATAGACTATTGTAGTGTGTTGCTTGGTTATAAATTAATTATTATAATTGGTTTATACATGCTCTTTTCTACAATTTTACAGTACAACAACTGGCAGCACATTCCCCAATTGAGATGGGTACCCCCTATAGAACAATGTACTGTAGCTGATCCCTATATTTTGATAATGAGTGATGAGGGAACCATCATGATGTTAACATTGAAACAAGAAAGTGACTGGTGCCGCGGCTTGTTCTTACCAAGCCTCTCATTTCAAATGTAGGTACTATATTGTTTTTAGCTCACCTGACCACGAAGTGGTCAAGGTGAGGGTATAGTGATGGGGCTATGTCCCCGGCGTCCGTCTTTGTGCGTCGTGCGTCGTCAACAATTTGGGTTGTTAACAAGTCTAGCAGTCACAGTTTTGATTGGATCATCATCAAACTTTGTCAGAATGTTTGTCTCAATGAAAATACAGATCAAGTTCGACGATGGGTTATCTAACCTTAGTATTTGCTCCTTTTGAGTATAGTTAAAAAAAGTAGAGAAAACAGTATGTTGTCAGCATAGACTCTGGGTCAAGTTAATAATTATAATTGCTCTCAGTAAGTATTATTATTTCATTTTAAAAAATGGTTTCTTGGGATCAAATGACCTTTTTACTATACTCACTTGCAACCAGTGAACACTGTTACCTATAAAACAACAAACAAAAGACACGAAAAAAATGGCTGAAGAAGAAGAAGATAAATAAAGCACACCAAAACACATTTTCATTTGTTTCAATAAGTTAACTAATGACTTTGCAATTAGAATTTTACTAGGGAAATATGCATTACAATAAAACATATGTACTATTTCAGAAACCTCAAGTGACCACTCTCTGTGCATATAAAGATGAGAGTGGAATGTTTACTACATCAGCTGTTGAAGTAGAAGAAGAAACAATAACAACAGAACAGAAAATAAACATGAATACTTCACTAGAAAAAGTCTTCAGTATGGAAAACAGGTAAATACATGTATTACATGCTTTCAGTGGAATGTGAAATCAGTTTTTTTTATAACAATATATGACAATTTGTATATAAGTTGTACTCAATGTATTTTTTCGATCTGATCAAGTACGGTACGACCCAAGCAGAAAATAGTTACTAACTCCATGTTTGAATATGTATTGTAATCATAGTGAGTACACAAAATAAGAATAAAATGTCATATCTTTTCTTAAAGAAGCAAAGAAAATGTTCAAAATGTAAGGATTTTATTAGTACTGTTTGTTAAAACCTTTAACACGGTTATTAAAGCGCCATTTAAATGGTTAGTTGTTTTTTCTTAGCGTGACACCCCTAAATAAATAAAACAGCAGGGACGCGGAGAGAAAACAGACTTATAAGCCAGGGCGCGGGCAAAGTTAAATAAACTAAAAAACTTCTCCCTGCGTCCCTGCTAATTAGTGTATTTTGAATGCCAAGCGCCAAGCGAAAAGTTGAGAAATAACAAATTAAAATGGCAATGGGCACGGAGCGAAAAACACGTTAATTAGTCTACCATTTTATTTCTTAAATCTCGCTCAGCAGGGAAAAGTTTTATTTATTAAACTTTGCCCCGCGCCCCACTAATAAGCTTGTTTTTCGCTATGCGCCTCGCCATTTTAACTTGTTTATTCTCTACTTTTCGCATGACGGGGTTGCAGGGTGAAACAGGAATGGCACAAAGCAGCCATCATAAAAATGTCCTATCTTGTCATAGAGAAGTAAAGTAATGTTTAAATTTGAATTGCCGAAAATTTACTTCGAATAATCAATGGGTTCGAATAATCCAAATCCAAATATAGTGGTAGACGACAACTATTCAACTGTAACGCCAACCATAGCAAAAGTACAGTTAACAACACACTTTTGTTTCAATTAATCAATCAAGAAAAATAAATAAACAACATAACATGCATAAAAAATTTAATTTTATTGGTAAAGAAGACATAAATACTTGCATTTTATTCCTCATATACATGAAAATTATCATGTCATCTTCAAGCATTAACTATAACAACATCTGACACGGTGCAGAATTTTAATCATAGATAAGATAGACATGTATTCACAATTAGGATATTTTGTGCTTAAAATTATGTATATAGTAAAATCTAAAGAAATATTCTTCTTAACAAAAAATAGCTAGAGCTTAGATATTAAGCATGAATCATCTTGTGTCTTTCAGGTTTGTTTCAATAAAAGCCCTGGGGTCAAATTTGGCCCTGCCACAGGGAGTCATGGATTTTCTTCCTTTGTATATTGTTACAAGTTAAACTAACAGAGAAGATAATGCAGCAACAAATCTACAATTTTTGATTAAAGAAAAACATTTATTTACAATAATAAAGAATACACAGAATAACAGAATCCAAACTTATATATTACTATGTTAGCAGTACAATAGCACACAATCAGTATATCAATATCACACAATAGTATAAATTAGCACACACACCTCGAAGTACAAACATTCATATACATTTATATTCTATCAGTGAACAATCTAGAATACTAAACAAGAGAAAGAATATTTCAGAATAAACATGAAAACAATTTTCTTGAAAGAAGATGAATGAAAATGAAAAATTATATAAACATCAAATAAACAATATTATTAAAAATGATAGTGGCATGAGTAGGTATCGAACACACGACATCAAGATTATCAGTCTTGATTTTCCATTAATGCATATAGTAAAAACAAAAAAAATCCTCTTTAAAAAAAAAAAAAAAATCCAAATTAACAATTTTCTGACTCAGGTGAGCGATTAAGGGCCATCATGGCCCTTTTGTTGAATTACCTATAGGTTGATAAAAACATGATTAGAGCGATTTATGGCCATCATGGCCCTCTTGTTGAATTACCTATAGGTTGATAAAAACATGATTATGACAATGTTTGCACTTGTATGTATAAATAAAACATAAAGTGCAGCTATTGCAACAAAACTTAACAAACCGAGAGTATTTTAAAAGCTTATTCTTTGAATGTTTAATGTTTTTCATAAAAAACAATCAGCAAAAACCACATACAACAAGTTCCATAACCTGCACGAGCAAATGTTATTGCATAGGCCTGTTTTACATATATAACATGATTTTAAAATATCAACACACATATTTAAACTAGAGAATTTAAAGTTTATTTAACATTAAAGTCATTCTGTTTGATAAAAAAAATAAAAATGAATTTCACCAAAAAAGATTTATGTCAAATGTTCAATCTGATGTCCGTTTTGTGCTACTACGATATCATTGAGTCTTTTTTCAATAACGTTAACACTCGTTGCATGTGAATTTTTCCTTGTTTCTCAGCGAATGGCTGACTTTAGCTGCTCAAGGGTGTCTGGTTTTGGATTGTAAACAGTTTCTTCTAAGTATCCCCATAGGAAGAAATTTTACGGACTTAGATCAGATGAGTGTGGAGGCCAAACAGTGTCTGATTTAAAAGAGATAAAATTTCTGCAAAATGTTTCTTTCAACCATTCCAACACATGTTCCGCAGTGTATTGTGCCGCTCCATCTTTTTCTGAGACCGATATTGTCTTAATTTCAACACCTTTCTTCGTAAGGTTGGAAGAAATTTGGTCTTCGAAGAAGGGAAAGATATTGCTCAACTATTTATTGTTTTGGTTTAAAACTTTCGATTAAAAATAGAATGGTCGATAATGTGTCGTTTTGCGTAGGATAATTTTGATATGTGAATACATATTTTCTTTTATTTAATCAATTAGGTCAGTTTTGTACAATACATATACTTAAAAAACCATACTATAGGTTTATTGATTTAAATGGCTTTCAAAATACCTGTACATTTTATATTATGGCTTGGTCACTGTCATCAGTAAAATAATTACATGTATAATCTTTGTAATGAGATTGTGATAGTCTCAGTGTTATAATTGAATCAAAGGAATCAATTCACTATAGGCTCGGTGAATTCATGTCTTTGTTTTGACGAGGGCATCTCCATATTATGTTCTTTGTTTGAATATTATTGCATCAACTTTCTAACCATTTACAACATTTTGTATCTTTTCAATATCTCTTTTTATTAATTCTTTTTGAAGATTTCTTTTAGAAGATATAGTATCTTTAAGCCTATTTTGTATTCTTTGATTTGACTTGACTCTCCTACAACAATAAGTGTAGAATTCTGCTTGTTGAAAAGTACTGCTAGCACAGGTGATGACTCTGCTAATTTAAGTGTTTTTTGCTGTGTCCCATGTGATGATTTCAGAGACATTTCTCCATTCTTGTTTCCAAATATCAAGTTCTGTGCGGACAGCATACATAGATACATGTACTCATATCTTACACCATAATATAATAAGCCACAGCCTTTTTTTGTTGGCTTTTGTTTCATATCTGTCTTACTAAATGTATATATGTCAGTATCTGCATCAATTATTTCAAAAGTATCCTGCGCGACAAGTATCGTTCTGGCTACAACCTGTCGACTTTTCGCTTCCTCATTTGTGTATATATTGACAAACATTCACTCTTTTTTTAATGGTACAATACATGATATTTGTTGGTGTCATGTATTAGTTAAGGGAAGGGTTTTTTCTTTTCAGGCTATTTCACATTCAAGCCTACAACAAACATTCATCATGTATTTCTCTGTAGGGTCTACCCATCAATCTTGGTGCCTTTTTCCTTCTTCTTAGGAAATGCTGATTCCTAAAGTCATGTTTTTCATCAATTGGTTACAACTGAACCAGGTTTCTTTACTAGTAGACGGCAACCTATGTGGTTTTGTAACACACATCATTCTCGGTGTCATTGTAATCTTATATTATTCTGTTTCACTCTAAATTATCTCCCAGTCGTTTAATGTTCTTGAATTTTTGCTATTTCTGAGATTACGACAGTAATGTCAGGCGAGGTTGACAATATTCATTTACGACTGCACTTTGTTACTGTCAGTTGGTGATGTATAGATGCACAGCGTTTGATTTGATTGTAGATGAATAAGGATTCCTTTTGTTTCCTTCAACACTTCCCCAATGTCTGTGATATGTTCAGGTATGACTTCATGCTATTTTGGTAAAAAAAAGAGAAGTCGCAGCATTGTCAGATCTCTCAGCAATTTTTCTGGCAATCCTCAAGGTTGCCTGGTAGTTCTCTTTGAAATGATGTTCTCCACTTCATTCACTGTCCATTCCTGTTAATGTGATTTAAGCTCTTTTCATCTGATATAACTGAGTCTAGTTCTTTGGATGAGTTTGACTGCATTTCTTGTATTGATGAGCTTTTGGATATTCTCTAGATGGATTAGCTAGAACTCTTATCTCTTGTAATTAACCACAATTCATATGCACTCAATATTACCAAGATGTGGCTTCTTTCGCTCTATCATATCTTTTAAGTTTTGATTTCGATATATTTTTTCCCTGTGTAGGCCAGAATTTCTATGCAGTCTTCTCCGGAAGATTTTAGATTGAATCATAAATGTTTATCTTCGAGTTATGCATGCCGCAGTAATTTACTTATTAGATCATAACATGTTTTATATGCTCACTCCTTGTATATAGGTTATTGCAGCCAAACATGATAATTCTATTCTGGCCCAATTTCTGTCTTTGGTTCATGAATCCGAAGGTATTATGAATGAGAAAAGGTCATAGGATATTTGCGTACAACTGAATTCCACTGAAAGTATAGGGCAGAGACTGCTACATGCTACATCATCCGGATTATCATTTGTATTACTTCGCCTAAACATATTTTTTCGCTCATTTTTTTGCTAACGAAAATAAGTCAAAAGCACATTATTGGGATCATGCCTGATGTAGTTTTTCGAATGTAAATGGTTGGTCGAGTTAAATTATACATTGTGATAAATGTTTTATGTTCAATAGTTAAATGATTGTAGGATAGATAGACTAAAGAGAAGTAAATTAGCAAGTCTACAACAGGCAACATCTCATACCGAGTCCATTGTGAAGTTGATCCAGTAAAATGTCAGTATCTA